TAATAATAAAACACTGACTATTACTGAGAACTAAATAATAATAAAACACCGACTATTACTGAGAACTAAATAATAATAAAACACTGACTATTACTGAGAACTAAATAATAATAAAAACACCGACTATTACTGAGAACTAAATAATAATAAAAACACTGACTATTACTGAGAACTAAATAATAATAAAAACACTGACTATTACTGAAAGCAAAATAATATTTTACCACCATATTTTGTAAGCTAAATATTACTAGAAGTGGAAACGAACCAAATATTTAAAGATATATAAGACTAAAAATGAAAACTTCACAACCAGTTGTTTACAGTAATTAATCCTAAGTGCAGAAGTTTCACTGTTTCCCTTTTAAGGTCACCTGGCTCAACAGGCAAAAAACAAAAATACTTTACGGAATAATTGTATAAAACATTTTTCATTTAACCTTCTTATATCTGATTTATAAATAAAGCACACAGTATCCCTACCATTAACAATCTGGAGGTTATACCACCAACCCAGAAAAACTAGAGGAGACTTAGCTTTACTTCGTTTTGTATGGTACCTTGAAAGAACCCTCATGTTAAAAGGTTATGATACACTCCCAATGTTGGAAGAATGTTATGTTCCAAATTATTAATATATATCTTGATATGGGATTTCAGTGATAAAAGATTATATTCAGAAAAACTAGAGAAATTTTAGGTTTGATTTGCAGCACATTGTAGCTTAGTATTGTAAAGGTACAAACAATGGTTTTTAGCATATTAAATATTTAAACGTCAAATATTGACAATTTTAAAAACCCTACTTAAAATGATCCTGTTTTCTAAGCCCAACTACAAGGTAAATGTTTGTTACAATAGCTTTAGATCATTTTGGAACTTTAATAACATGGTTTATATGCAACTACTTAAGCAGTAAGTAGCTGATACAGAGCAGAAAAACCTGGTGGTTGAGTGACAACATCCAACTACTTAACATTGACTTAGATCACTACAACAAAGACTCTGCCACTGGTTCAAAAACACTGTTTTAGCATTCTTAACATCTACCTTCAAATGGTCAATATATAATCAAGTCTCACCATGCTGCACCTTAACCACAATGTGTTAAGCCTATTTTAGTAATTCTAGCGTATAATGTACTATGTGCCTAATATCAGTCATTTAAGGCAGTAACACAGTGGCTGCTGGTCAGTCATGTGCATTTTAAACTTTAGCTTGTTTGTTAGTTTGTTTTCACCGTTGAGCACAAAGCTACACAATGTCGTGTCCACCACAGGTATCGAAGCTGAACTGTAGTATATATATATATATTCTAAAGTAAACATAACGGTTTAATATCTTTGAGTAAAATTCTTTATAAATTTTACGTGTTTAACAGTTTGATTGTGTTTAAGAAAGTAATTTGCCATCATTTTCAATGTATTCAAATACAAAAATCAATAAATAATTAATAAATACAAAATATGTAATACACAACACAAACATAATTTAAGTATGTATCTATGTGTAAAAGCTTCTTTCATGGCATTACCAAATGAATAGCATTCTCTATATATACAGGTTAGATAACATCCTGCACCTATCCTCAAAAAGCAACACACCTTCTTATCCCTTACATGCAGTGGAACAATTCTTTATTTACTTAAGTAAGCAAAACTATAAAACAAACACTTTAAAGCCTCTTAATAAGAACAGCTGACTTATTTTTTAGTTTTACTTCAAATTTATACACAAGCTCTTTTAATACCTTTCTATGTGTATGGCAAGTCTGGTAACTATACGGTTAAAACAAGTTTTTCACATCAATTGTCATTAATTACTGGTAGGTAAAACAGAAGCAACTTTATATTCTTGTGTGTTGGGGGATGCAGTTGTAAAAAAACTGTGCATCACACACATTATATTCCAAGTGTGAGCAAGAAACAAATGATCTTTTTTACAGACTAAAGTTTATCAAATGAACATACTACTGTGAGTTGATAATTTCAGGAGGTTGCAGTTCAAATTTCAGGTTACATGGGAAATGATAGAAAGTAGTCAATACTCCAATAATGGATCAAAAGCATGGAACAAGGTACTACTACTTAATTAATTGTTTTAGGCCAACTTAAAGAAAGAAACATGTTAGTTGACACAAAGTCTGTTATGACTAATACAAAAGATCGGAGAATAAATGACTTTCCAATTAATTACATGTAAAACCACCATTTCATATTTTACTAGATTTCACCCAAATATGAGTACATTTTTCTGAAACTTGAACACCAGTAAAGAGCCAGCTGAATGTGAAAGGATTAAGGAATATACTTAAATTTCTTCAATTCTGACATATCCCTCTACAAAGAATATAAATAGTTTCCTTGTAGCAGAAAGAAAAATTTTTTTACCAGTTGAAAAAAAATAATGGACATTTGTTTCTTTTTATTAATAACTATCTAAGTTTTTAGTTAGCTCAATAAATCTGAGTTTTATTTACTGGTTTTAATTGAATCTTTTGAGTGCAGTATTTGTCTGTATTATATCAATGATTTTTCAAAATAACCTTACCTCTGTCTTTAAGCAGTACCTTGCCATCCACGACCCATGGAACCCTACGAGCTGCTTGAAATGTGGAAAAAAACTAATTTTCATGCAGTTCTTATAATAACAGGTTTCACTGTAACTACATGATATTCAATTTTAAAAATATGAACAAGACTGACATTCTGATTAATGTAAGTGTAAATATTCCATGTTTTTGGATGAATGTTTGTGAATAACTGACTTTACAAAAATTCTGTAACCTGAACTGCAGCCTCCTATATGTAGAACAAGATAAGCAAACTTTTAATATTCTAGTGTATGCAATCCCGACCAAACCTGCCAATGAATATTTTACCAAGTCATTTATTTTGTTTTCACAGTATACACTCTTGCCTTGAATGCACCAATGATGCCAAAGCTTAAATTAAGGCATGATGCTTAAACTAATAGCTTTTAGACATTTCTACAGCTTCACTTTTAATGAAAACAAAAAAAAAAAGAAAAACATTTTATTCTTGTCTGTGTCAATCCTCCTTTGTAAAAATATAAAATAGGCAGAGCTTATTTTGGAAACACACCAATCTCTGGGAAGAAACAATAAAAAACATGACTATGATTTTATTTGACTGAAAAGTGAGATATAAGACTTTTGGTGATGAATTATAATGAAACTTAATCTTACTTCTTGATGGCAAAAATATATAGCATATACAAGAGTATGCTTATTAATTTCTTGCCAAACACTTATTTAAATTATGTAGCATATATATAAACCAAGTAAAAACAGTAACTGCAGAAATAAAATCTATAACTAATACAAAATTTTAAAGTACTAAATTTATAACTAATGTTGCTTTAGCAAAACAATAAATCAACACCCACAACATGATGTTTAATGTTTATTAAAATATGATACTAGATTCAGGCCTGAGTTAGCAAAAGCACTTAGGTAAATTCCAAATTTTTATAGCAATTTTGCTATTTAAAAGTCAACAACCACATAAAATTTTAAAATGCCAATGGGATGGTTCAGCATGAAAACACAACTGCTTCACATTTTATGTCACAAAAATTTTAGCTCACTACAATTAATATTATTGACACGTTACAAAATGAATTTTTTTTCGTGAAGGTTTGGTCTACTTTGTATGTAGAAATAAATGTTCACATTTATTAAGAGTAAAAAACAAAAACGTTTTTTGGCACAGTGAAAGAAAAGCTCTCCATTAGAAAATTCAGCTAACTAGCTTTGGTCACCATTATCAGAGTTACTAAAAACTAGTTAGCTAAAATTTCTACCAAAGATTTTATCTTTCATTGTTTACTCCATATAGTAGCACAATGTGCCTAAAAAGAAATTATATAGGTCCACATTTAATTGCAACCTATAAAACACTCGTTTATTATAACCACATCACACTAAATTTTAGCCTTAGCTCTTTATCACAAGTTTTATTCCAAGTTCAATGTAAAAAGAAGATAATAGTGGCTATAAGGTTTTATTTTAATTTGTAATTACACAGCTTTAAATACACTAAAATATTATCCAAACATTTTTATGACACGTTTCATTCTGCCTCAACTTTTGCTGAAAATTAAACAAAAATCTAAAAATCTTAAGTTTGGTCAAAAAATTTTAAATACTATCCAAACTTTTATTAGTTCATTGACTGTTATAAATTTGTTACATTACAGAATTTAACTAAAGATGTATATACTCACAAAAATGGATCTCCTTCTAAGTCATATGTTTTTCTTGGTCCTGAAGGTGTTCTATTAAGAAATATTGAGTGTATTATGTATTTTGAACAATTTATATCAAAGTAAGAGCAGTATAATTCCTTCACATTTTTTTAATAATATACTAAAGTAACATTAATTCCCAAGAACAGTAAAAGGAGTTGCTTCTTTCTAATTATGATAAAAACTGAAAACTAGAATTTGAAATGCTTAATCTCATTTTAGATGGGTATGACACTAAAAAACAGTAACAATAAAAATACCATTGAGAAAAATTACATACTTTGCTTTAGCATGTGTAAGAATATGGGACTTCAGGTTGGTAGACTGTGCAAACTTTTTCTGACAACCATCAAACGGACATACATATGGCCGGTCACCAGTATGGATCCTAACATGAGTCCTTAGATTAAAATCCAAGGAAAAACGTTTTCCACAGCCCTCAAACGTACACTAAAAATTAAACAAAAGGGAAATTATGTTATTACACATAAACTATTTTTTGATTTCTCTGTTACTAAAACATTTTATAACAGACACCAATAACATTAACCCTATCTGCACAGACATTATTTACTGTGCATGTCACGAGATATTTAGTGACTTATATTCAAAATTTAAATAAACTACATTTTGTTTATGTTATAAAAATTACTATGGTATAAATTCATAGCTAATAATCCATATTTTAATAGTATATAAGTTAAGTTCTTAATGTTATAAGGCAATATTAAAACACAAAAACCTGAATTTCCCCTAGTGTGACTTTTTCCTCTAGGCATCCCTTCTTCTCTAATTTATTTATCACTCCTCCAATAAGTATGAAATTTAATGTAAATTACTCAATATAATATTGTCCTCACTCTCAGACAAAGCAGTACAATTTTTATAGCCTTCAATTTTGTTTGGTTACAAAGCCATCAAATAGAAAATCAGTCTCCTCTTGACATACCTAACTGTCACATCCTCTCTTTCAGGAGTTGTTAATAGTTCTCTTATGTTTAATTTTATATTATTTATAACCAATAGAATTCCAAGGTTTTCATCTATCAAATGATGTATTATATACATTCTCTGAACAGAGAAGTGTCAATCACTTTTAGTACAAGCTTCATTCCAACAGGAAACATACTGACTAGCTTGGATGAATTTGTAATGGCTATTGCTGCATAGTCAGAAAGACAGAAAATTGTGATCGATATGGAACATAGTCTGGTGCATGTTATTATTCTGTTCTTTGGTGCATTAATTAATTAAATAAAAATTATTTAGTGCACTACTACCATTAGTATATAAAAAAAATAGGGTTAAGTGTCATCGACAGTCGACAGCAAAAAAAAAGTCCAGATAAGTACATTATTTCTTGTTTTTCATATGTATTATTTATTATTATAAAAGTAACTAAAATATAAAAACAAGAATCTCTTTAGGTTAGTTAAGTTAAATTAGGTCAAATAAATAATAATATAATAAAAATGTTTCAAGAGGCACGCACTAGTAAAATAAATACTCGACATATTCATGGACAAATCTTTTTTTGATTTATTAAAAATACTTCATTAAAAATATGATTTTTTGTATGTGAAAGACTTGTAATGTTTACTGAAAGTCTCCCAAATTTTGTGAAGATATACATACTATATTAAAAGTTAGTAGTATCAAAACTATAGTGACTTTAAACGAGTACAAAGTGGTCATGTGGTAAGTCAATTAGACCAAGCCCGTGTTGACAGAGTTATTAATAATAAAAAAATCTCAGGGTTTAATCTTTCTCAATGTGAGTTGCATTCATTGGACAATTTTTCCACAGCTCCAAGAACAAATAACTTTTGAAATTTTTGTTCAGATGTTTTGCCCAAAATAAGTTATTTGTTAACATTTGCTTTTATTAATAATGTTTATAATTAAAACTAGTTCCAAGATTCTTGACTGCACATACACTGTACTAGAATTAATTAGAATGTTACTACAACTTTGGCAAAATAAAATCATAAGATTATTTGTTATAAGATATACACCATCTTAATGCTAAAGTATGCCTGAAAGAGAAAGAGTACGTGTTAAATTTTATGAATACAATATGTGGAAACTATAATAATATGCATCTTCGATGAACATTTAGAAGTAAACACTGGATAACGAAAATGTGTTTACATCAAATAAAGTCTAAAATTTGTTTATCACTATCAGCATTTATTAACCGTTTCGAGATGGGTTGCAAGTGAAAGAAAGGCCATGTCATGTCGTTTGTTGACTTGCATTCAAAATTATATTGAACTACTATTTCAAGAACTTGTCAATAACTTTGTTATCAAATTGTAGATTATAATTCAAATTTTAGTATTGTACATTATAAGTTTTTTAATTTAAAAGTAAATATTAAAAAAAACACAGATAAACATCGATTTTTGTGTGTCACATGGTATGTTGAATGTAGCACTGGTTCAAATTAGATGCTTGTGAAGACAAAATACTAAATCTACAGTTTCATACGAATTAGAAACTCAAATTACAGATATTGACAAGCTAGAATGTAAAATAAGAAGTTATTTTTTCTATTTGTTAAGATAGTGCTTTATGTAATCAAACACAGTAGTAGCCCACCCACTACTTTCAATTTTTTGAAACGCTCCGTCATATACACTTACTTATATATACGACATGAATAACCAATCGGAAGCTCAGAATGTCCCCATAGTGGCTTTCTCAGCCATTTAACAGGCTTGAACACCATTTCTTTCTTTTGAACCAATATTTCAAGAAGGTAGGGTGTGTCTTTAGTCTGCTCGAAATTTCATATTTTTTAGACTAAAATATATCTTAGTTACTAAGCTTGATAAATTACAGTGGAATTCAATGGTTTTGATGTAGTAATTTATGATTTTTTAGTTATTCAAATATATATATATATATATATAAAACC